GAGGAGCCGGCCCTCCAGCTCCGTCGGCACGCCCAAGACCCCCTCGCGGCCGCCATCCAGGGGCGGCGGCGGCGCCGTGTCGTCCAAAGAGATCGACGAGGACATCCAGGAGGCCATCAGGCTGCACGAGGAGGGCGACCTCCTCGCCTCGTCGAGGATTTTTGGCCGGTTGGCGGATCCGAACGGCGCCAACAACCCTCTGAGCCAGGTTTTGTATGGTCTCGCGCTGAGGTATGTTGTTCATTTTCAATCCCCTTTCTTTCTCTTAACCCTGGAATATGTATGAAGGAGCCAGATCTGATACATATGGCAGACATGGCTGGGGAGTTGCACCAGATCCTGCTGGGGCAGTCCGCTACCTCACAGCAGCCCTATCAAGCTCAGCATCCATTGAGGAACTAGCTCTCAAGGCTGGTTTGAAGAAAGGAGGTGCCGCCAAGGGAGAGCTGGTCCTAGCCATCTTCGAGCTGGCCAACTGCTTCCGCCACGGCTGGGGCATAAACAAAGATCCAGTAGCAGCTAAACAGGTGAGAAAGATTGAAACTGCTTACAATGGCATAACCTGTCTCAGCTGACATGATTTCCTTTTCCTATTTCTGCAGTATTATGAGACTGCTGCCAACCTTGGAGACGCTGGTAAGTGAATGCACTTGACAAAGAATCAAATCCACACATCGTGCCTCTCGGAGCTGACCATAACCATCACAGATGCCATGAACGAGGTTGCATGGTGCTATCTCGAGGGCCACGGTTGTAAGAAAGACAAGGTATGCAAACACTCGCCTCTTGACTCGGTTTCGAGAATCTGAATCAGCCATACATCCAACCAACGCCCTTTCCCCGTACCCTGTTCCATATGTTGCAAGTTCCCCCGTGTACAAACCGCTAACCAATCGGAACAGTACGCAGCAGCTCGCTACTATCGTATGGCCGAGAAGGCAGGAAACAAGACTATTGGGAACTCATGGTAAGCCTCACCCACTCTCCCTCCCCCGTCCCGTCCTATTGGCCTTTCTCCCCCCCGTCACCGGCCCATCACGCACCCTATATATAGGGGCTTCGGCATGCCTATTATCGCATCACGGTGGCGTCCAGAGGCCTACCCCCTGGTGCTGACTGCATCGCCCATCGCGCGCTAAAATTCATCATGAGAGCAAAACAAAGCTGATTCGGCCACAGGATATGGAAGGAGAAATACGATCCCAACGGTAAGAAGTGATCAACGGCCGCTATAGGTGCGTACGTTGTGGATGCTGCACGTTTTGCAGTCGGCGAACCTTGACAGGCAAACCGTTGGCGCGGCCTAGATGACGCCTTGAGCATGCCCCTTCGTCGTCAGACTAGCGTATCTTCTGAAATATTCTCATGGCGTTGGATTCCGCCTATCAATATCCATGGTGTCACCGGTGTTGGCGCAGCTCGAATAACGAATGGCTGCTGCCAATGAATGTGCATGAGACACAGTGCCGGTGATACCTCACATTCAGGATCAACATGCACATCTTTTGTTTTGCATATCCATTCCATTGATTGGAGTAAAGATATTGGTCACATGTACTCGTACGAGAGATATTATTCGATGTTTTGGGATGGTGTATGTATGTACTCTGCACGCGCAATATGATATCAAATTCACCTTACCGAGGACTCAGCGCCCGTACGGGAAAGAAGATCCGAATGCTCCGCTCCAAAACAACCAAATATCGCAGTAAGCGCGCCCATCAACCAACAGTTCCCCCAAACAGCGCAGATCGTGGTGTGAGGTCCCCCCCAGGCGCCAAGCAACCCCCTTCTCGGTTCCGTCTGGTCAGCAGCGAAAACCGAAGCCTATTTATCCATTTCCCAGCAATGAGACGGTCCCGATCGCGTCACGGCTGCATATGAGCAAACGGAGGTAATGCGGGGCTGGCGGACAAGAAACGCCGTGGTTGGCAAGTGATGAGTGTGGATGTCGCATCGCATGACGGTCAATCACTGCTGATCCAGTCCCCTCCCACCACCACCCCGAGACGGACGGACGGGGGAAAAAGACCAATGGCCGGGGTGAGGGAATCTTATCAACAAAAAACCGCCGATGTAGCCCCAGAGCCAGAGGGCCAATCTGATCTGTCCTCCCCTCACCCTCCTCTGGGATGCATGTATCGTTGCTTGGGAAAACCTGCCCACTGTCCACTCCTCCAGTCTACCACATCGTATCGCGAGCACGTGCGCGCCCACCCTCAGCAGAGGAGGGAGGGGCTTTTTATCTGGAAGAAGAGAACTCCCCCTGCTGGCCTCTCCCAATGGAATGGGTGCATGGAGAGGCGAAGCGGGAGGTGGTGTCATGCCGTCCTCCAAGGTGCTGCAATGTGATCTCTTACTGGTTTGTCTCACAGGCAAACGTAGAGGGGGCGAACCACCAATTCGTGTCAGTTGCCCATCCGCCCCCTGAGCTCATGTGCTGATAATAGGTGTGTTGGTGACTGGGTCGCATCTGATGTACACTTGATGTTGGACGACGGTGGTATTGTGTCCAAGGAATCCAATGGCAGGCATACCAATGATGTCCATCTTGGCTTGCATGTTGCTACCTGCCTGGAAGACGGCATCAATTCTAAGTGACCAAGGCATGGAAATCACACGTCGCGTTTTGCTTTTGAACCAGTTATGATTGCCAAGTAGAAACTCAGTCAGTATTGCACGTCTGCTATCTAACTAAATTCCATCTGCTACAAAAAAAAAAGACGAGCCTGAAGAGGCCAAAGGAGTGTGGTGTATGTGATGTGAAAAGACTCGTAGCGGTCTTCAGCTGTAATCGACAGTCTGAGGCTGTAACGCACTTGTCTGTAAAAATCAAAAATAATAGTAGACATTCATCGTAAAAAAAACAATCGTTTCCTCATCCAGTTCGTCGTTCCCGTTTCCCATTCTCTTCATTGCGTCAAATTCCAGAAATGCCAAAAAAAGATGCGAAGGTGAACCAAGTCACCACCATCGTTGGATGTTGACCACGCACTGTTGCCGTCCATCCCCTTCAAGAGGTGTTCGCCTCAATGACCCTCCAAAAATGTACAAGCTAACCGGACTGGAGCCTGTCGAGTTCTGTCTGCTTGCTGATGTGCCGTCGCAGCTGGCGTTGCCCCAACTCCAAATGAGAAAAAAACAAATAGCGGCTGAATCCAAAATTCCGATAGAGATAACAAGAACATGAGAAAAATAATAATGAAAAAATACCAAAAGAATAGAACAATTGCTTGTGAAATACATAAATGAGCATCGAGGCTTGAACCAAAAACAAGATCAAAGAAATTAAAGAAATAAAAGCAAAAACATTAAATCATCGCTCGCTTGCTAGTTCCGCTGGAAACTTAGATAAACCCCCTAGTAAATTTCTGAATGAAAATAGAAAATAAAAGTGGTGGTTAAAGGACTGTTTCATGCGTGAGCAACAAGTCTGGGTCGCCAAATGGTAACAACTCTTCCGCGTGGAACAAAGCTGCTACCGGACCAAGAACGTAAAAAACAAACATTCAATGGTCGTCAAGTTCATCTCCGTGATCCTTGATTTTTTTTCTCTTTCCGTTTTGTGTTTTCAAAAAAAAGCATTTTTATGTCATTGCTTCGTTGCGTTGCTCATTTTGCGCATTGTTGCTTTCCGCGACCATGGAGGCGAAATTTCGTACAACGTCTCGAGGAATCTGATCCCAAAGCAGGGAACGAGTGTAGACCTCGGCGGCACCGTCTTGTTTGATTGCGGTTCTCATTGATGCAAGTTCCTGGGCCAAGTTGCGTCGGCCCTGGCTGTTGAACCTCTCTGGAGCTCCATTGTGGATGAAGTCCTGATCCATGACCCCGTTATATTGTTGGGCGGAGAGGGAGAAGATCTGCTCATTAGTCTGTTCTTGTGTAGGTTGAGTAAGAGAATCACCGAGCTCGCCCAGCATAGAGGGAGCCACTGAGTCGGGCATGATGTCATTCAAAGCAACGCCAGTGCTGGGGTCGGACCATGAGCCAGAAGGCTGGGGAGCAAGGGCTTGCATGGTGGTGGTTTGCGACCCAACACCGGCGTCCTTCAGAACATTGTTGAGCAGAGTGGCCGACGCAGCTCGAACATCCTCAGACACACGAGGGATGGATGGAGTAGAGCGACTAGACAAGACAAATGCACCAACGAGGAAGAGCATGAAGAGAAGACCTCCATTCTGGCCAGTTGACTTTTCGCCTTCTCCAGCAAATGTGGCTTCGGTCTTCTTGGCAGGGACAATGGACATCTCCTGCTTGACCTCTGGCTCCATGGGGAAGTTGTTGACAAAGGTGTTCTGCTCCCAGGGCGCGTTCATGGTCAGGTCTTCCATGTCGCCGTAGCCGCCGGTGAAACCATTGGCTGCGTTGGGGGCGCTGCTTCCCATGTTGTTCTGGACATGATCGGTGAGGACGGCGATCTTCTTCCTCAACTCACCAGTTTCGTTGGTGTGGGATCGGATCATCTCATCCCGCTCCAGAGTCAAGGTCTCAACGTAATCAACGTAGCTCTGCTTCTCTCGGAGAAGCTGGTCCATCTTGGCCTTGAGCTCGTTCATCTCTTCTTCCATCTCAGTGATGACAGCGGTGTACTGCTTCTTCTCATCCTCGAGGCGCTCAGTGTGCTGCTTCTTTCGCTGGCGAGAGTCAAGACTGGTAACAAGGGTTAGATATGACATATTTACACGAGAACAATTGGATTGGGGACTTACGCTGCTTGTCTGTTGCGAAGCAGTCGCTTCTGTTGCTTGAGCTCCTTGACTTCGGCCTCGTCGGTAGACTGAGCAATCAACTGGTCGATGTTGCTGAGGTTGCGCTCGGCAGGAATCTCGAATCGGGCATTCTTCTTACGAATACCATCACCTCGACGAAGGTCATTGTGAGAGCGGATGGCAGGGCTGCTTGGTCGGGTCTTCTTGCCGCCCATCTGAGCGTTGCCGATGAAGTCCTTCTGAGGTGATGGAGGAATGGACTGAGCTTGAGATGCGAGACTCGCAAACATGTTGCCTGGGTGGGTGAATGGAGTCTGCCCTGGCATGGCCCTGAACATGGCGGCGCTGGCTTCATACTCTGGCTGGATGCCGTCAACCTGAGGGAATGGGTTCCACCCATTGGCTTGGGGCGCCAGGGTGTGGTTCTGCTCAGGGCGCATGAAGTTGTTGCTGGTGTGGTCGAAGAAGGGGTTGTTGGAAGGAACGGACTGCATGTCGACCGAGTGCCAATCGTCTGTCTTGGGAGAAAAGAGTGAAGGACCTCCAATAGCGAAAGACTCTCTGCGGCTATCGAGCATCTGAGGTGACAGTTCGAGAGTTGAGTCAACAGCGCTCTGATCGAGAATGTTGTCGTCCAGCACGTTATTGTCGTCGTCCTCGAAGAACTTGTGAGCGTGATGTGTGTCTACCGATAAAGCAGATCGGTAGAGGGGCTGCATGTTTGCCACAAACGAGGTAACCATGGTTAGCGCCTGGGCGAATTTGTGCTGAGCAGAAGCTCAAAGATTTGGGGTTGGCGTCTGATGGGAGCAGATGCTTAGACTGGCACGCCTGAGATAGGCAGGGTTTGAAGTCAGTTGACTGTTGTCAAGCCAGTTTCGGTTCGATGGGGAGTTGAGAAGGGGATATGTGGTGATGTGGGAGAAGGAAGAGATATATATGTTGAGAAGGTGAAGGTGATATGTGTGGATAAGGCAGCGACAGCGAGTGAGTGAAGCTGGGTGAAGCAAGGTGGGGGGGAGTGAAGGAAGACGGGAAGACAAGAAGACCATACGAACTTCAGATGAGGAATTAAGAGCGGCGGGGATAAGAATGCAATGAGAAAGAAATAAACAAAGATGCAAGACGATCTGGTCTGATATGACGCTGCTCAAAGGCAGAGAGGCAATGGACTAGGGACGGAGAGCGGGAGAGGGATGGGTCATGGAGATGCTTATAAGTCGGGAGGGGAAGGTGTGGGAAGAGGGAAGGTGCATCTGGGCCAACGAACGTATGAGGCAGAGTGAGGACAAGGACGGGAACGAAAAGGGAAAGACCCCCAAGAGGGGAATGGTGGAAAGGCAGGCGCTACTCACCAGGACTCGATCCAACTCGTGATGCCGAGATGGGGGGATTGGGCTGAAGCGATGGGGGTGGGAATGGTACCTCTGGTTGGATGGTACCCCCACAGCGGGCGAGGTAGATGTTCCAAGGCAGGTCGAGAAAGTGGATCCCACGGTGCGCACACAGACACACAGATACACACCAGATGCGACCAGCTCAAGCCCTTCAAGCTCCCGGGAAGTTGCGGAGGGCTAAGGGAAAAGTGCAGAAAAAAGGCAGCGGGGAAGAAAGCAGAGATAGAGGCAAAAAGGGAGAATGATTCATAAGTAAACAAATGAATAAGGGAATTTCCAAATAAGCAATAAAATGTAAACACACACCCACGAAGACCTCGAGTAGTGTAATAGCTAGTCGGCGTTGCTGATGTTTTGAGCCTGGCCCACGAGAATTGGGAGCAAGCGAGGAGAGGAGTCTGGGGGGAAGAAGAGAAATTCAACGAAACACTTTTTTGAGGATGATGATGGAGGCAAAAGCGCGGGAAGGGTGGAAGGCAGGACGGTTATGTATCCGGCATTGATGGGTGGCCGGGCGTGGGACGTGGAGTACGATGTAGGCGGTCGAGATTATACATGGGCACTGGCCAGGGTGCCTGGGCCATCCAAGTTAATGGGCTCGGGTGATGAAGGGATATCCACAAAAACCTGTGGTATAGCTTTTTTTTTTTCTTTTTTGTTATTTTTGCTCCCTGCTCTTTCAAACGGGACACCCCGTTCTCTCCTTGCTTAATGATCCAATATTATTTGATACCCGCGTTTATGGAAATGCCATCTTAAAAGCGACATGCTATCGTTCCAGGTATGCACGTGTGTGGCCATGGGCCTGGGGAGGGTGTCGCGAGGAAGCACCGCCCAGTGACCGCCAGATACTCCGTCACCGACTCTCTGGTCTATGGCGACGGGTGTTACTCATAGGTCACTCCGATTTCCGCAGCCATGACTGGTGCTGATCGCTCCTTGGGCTCCGACTTGCAAGCTCGCAGCAGGTCTCCCGTTGTAGACCCAACAACCTGTTTTGTCTGAGCTATGAGTGGTCAGAAGAAGCCCGACTAGAGGCAGAGGGTGGCAGGGTCAAATATGCTTGGTCTGTGCGCGACAATGTGTGCCTCAGAAATATGTAGAGCTATTGACTGTAATAGGCACATAGAGTAAATAGTCGATCCTGCGAGGCAGGAGACGTCGGGTAGCGATGAGATATGCTTGATGCTTGCCGGTGGTTATCGACGATGGGACCGATGGCCATCCTTGCTCGCCTTGTCCAAGGCTCTTGCGATCGCAGTCTCTCCGTCACCGTCTGATTCTCCTCTCCCTTGGATGGAGAGACACTACCATCACACATACCCGCACACACTTACAGGCTCTCTCACATACACCTGCCCACACCTGTGACGCTCACAACTCTGGTTCGTGGTCACAACATCACACCCACGCAACACCCAGGAACTTGCACCCGCGTCTCAACCTTTCAGGTGGCACACCCAGTGGCATGTTAGGGCAGATGGCATGCTCCTTATTGGCAATTACGAGTCTCCGAGGCTTGGTGGTGGGATGGAGGGGCACTGGGCCCATCTGACCGCTCCCTCTGCCAAAGGCTTCAGTTTGGTGATCTTCTCTCACCACTGGTCCCGGCTCTGCTTCCCCGTCGACGGTAGGTCCATTAGCCATGGCGCCAGGCCTCGGCCAACTCTGGTCCTGCTCCTGTATGACTCTTCTCTTTCATTCTCCTTGCCACTTAGGAAGGGCTAGAGACAGGCTAAACCCCACGTTCCTGGTGGCATTGCCCAAGCAACCAAAAGCGGCAGCCAGTGAGCTTTGGCAGCGGTCCTACCCGAGCTGTCTCGACCTGTGGCCATGTGTGTGCGTCGTGTGGCCAAGCCTGCTAGCGGTGTCGACAGAGAGCAGGGCAGCCTGGACTGCCAGTCAGGTCAGAACTCGCACGAGCAATAGAGGAGTGGAGATGGGCGTCGATGGAGGGGGTAGAGTGAGGTTGGGCAGAAACGGCCCGCTAGGATAGTACAGATCCCACCCATGTACCCGCAGGGTAGCTTAATGCCCATCATTACGCAGGACAGTACTTTAGGCTACCTTGCTTTGTTTGCTCACGGGCAGGTAGCACGGACACCAAGCAACCACTAGAGCGAGCTGAATTACGTACCTCCCGTGCTTCAGGGAGCTAATAGGTGCTTCTCGGGCAGGCAGGCACACTTTTCCGGGTCCGCGCAGCGCGTCTCCTCCCCAAGGGATCAAACAGCAGCCTCCATCCAATGGTTTGGCAGGGCGGCAGCAGGGCCGCCTGTCCTCTGTAGGCACCTGCTAATCATTGTTCTGGGTACCGCCCAGCAGGCTTACTTTTCGGCCGTCGCAGCACGCGCCAGACGTTGTTGCTTCAAACTAAGGTTTCCATCTGCCTGCCAATGTCGCTCCCGAACAATAGATGCTCACCCGCACTGAGCCTCTTCAGTGGATACGGATGACTCTGACCGCCGCCAACCCAGGCAGGCTAAGCAGCTTGGGCTTTGTAAATATAGAATTTCTCGTATAAGCGCTGGCAGGGACTACGGTTTCTGGTGTTTTTACTTGATATTTTATTCTGTTGATTTTTCTCACCGCGAAATCGCAAAAGGCTCGATATGCGATGACCCGACTCTCTTCTGGGCTCATACCCTGCTCGACTGGGAAGCTGGGACAGCTGGGGGTCGCATCGAACGGGTGCATCAGCGTCACAGGAGCATTGGATAGTGACGCGATAGGTAGATAGAGCTCTTCTGGGGGGCACCGGGCAGGTCGGGAATGGGAGGGTCTGACCACTCCTGTGGATGGCCCACGCACATCATTCATCCCCCATTCGCGCAGGTATCATACATTGGACAATACATCCGCGGCACATGCTGCCAGCAGGCGGCAACAAAGGGCCTGTTTCCAAGTTATCATGTATTGGCCTGCACAAATCAGTCAATGGAAATCACCTCACCCTATACCGCCATATGAATTGCCGGCTGAACAAATCTCAGGATGCAGGGGGCTCCTCCCTCGCTCCCAATTCCGAACCGAGAGGTTAAGAGAAGGCAGCCACACAGATGTAGCTGAGGCATTAGTCTAGGTATCTCTCGCGCTGCATTGCTAGCGCTTTGTGAGGGAGGGTATACCATTGATACTAAGCAGATGTGAGACAGTACATTCTCAGCAGCCCCATTGCTCTTTCTGGCTCCCCAGGATCACCCAGCTGACCTTGACCTTCTCAAACCGGATATCAGTGGGTGGGGGAACGAAGCTGTCAGCCGATCGGGTATCTTCCCACCCAAATCGGGTGCAAGTGTACATCTGCACTAGTATTTGACTCACTCTCCACACACTCCAGCCACCTCCCTCCTGTTTTCTGTCAACCTGCAAGACGAAGAGGGTGTATCCTTGCTTCAGAGGCTCGATTGTGATCGTCCGATGAATGTAACGCTTGTCAGCGACCTCCGTTTTCTTTTCTCTGGCATTTTTTTCTATTTCAAAGCAGTAGTGCTAACTGACTCTGGTAGCTGAGCCCAAGACGCCTTGGCGCCTGCAAAGCCACAACTCCCTACGAATCCCACTGACAGGCGTCGAGGCATGTGAGAGCACGAGCCATGGCGATGCAACAACGTGAATGGGTATCCCCATGAATTTCATCACGCACGTTCTGAAGCGAGCCAGTGACTATTAGTGATGATAGGATGCGGACGCCCCCGACGGCCAGAATGTGATCCAACCAGGGCCTCGGACGGCTCCACTGTGCTGGATGGCCGCATGAGGGCCGGCCGCCTACGAAGTCGGTGTGTTTCCGGCTTGTCCAGCCGTCTCCTGTCTGTGGCCCAACTACTTTACGCGTTGAAAGCGCGTGTGATTATTATGATTATCTGGTCTCGTTGGGCACCAACTGACTGCCTCCTTTCCCGATATGGATATCCCGTTTCGAACCCTTGAGGACGCAAATCATATCAGGCTGATGGCACTCCTCGATATGCAATCCTCAGGTGTGACGACCACTCAGACTTGGCGATGCGGTCGACCGGTTAACTTCCCGGCGCAATGAAAATTCACTGGTCCAACCTCAAGCTCATGAGCTTGTCTCGTCCAATCGTTCTCCGGAAGGCCAAGATCAGGGCTCGCATGCCTCAGCTATGCACTAGGGTCGCTTGGTGTTGCTCCCAGCAAGCCTGCCTCATGGCTGCGGGAAAGCCATACGCCCTCCAGTAACTGCTTACCATATTCCGGGTGGAGAGGCCCTTAGCCCAAGCAGCCGTGCGGCAAAGTCCAGGAAAAAGAAAATATTTCTGGTGAGCGACGAGAATGGACCCCAAGCTGTCGGCCGCGTCGTTTGCACTCCCCCCGATCTGCCACATCTTGCCCGCGCTCATCGGAAACATGGCAATCGACAATGCATGGCTGTCGATAGGCGAGATTTTTCTCATGTACATTGGCTCAGGCGCAGGATCTTCAGCCCCCGATCTCCCACAGCCTCTCCAGCTTTCCAACTTCCCGTGTATGCATTACGATCGTTTTTGTAAATTCGTCAACTGCGGACCTGATATCCCTCCAGTTCAACCCCCATGCGCCGCCAAGGCAATAACGCTCCAATCGATCTTTCTCCCTTGTATGTAGCCTCGCCTATCGTGCCTACGCTATGGGCATCGAATCTAGCGAGGCTGGCCTCGTGAGCTCAACATCACCCACAGCTTATTCTATGTGACCCTGTCCTACATCATCGACTTAATATCATACTGAATTATTGCCTGGCTGACCACCTAACCCACAAGCCAATCAATGAACTGGCATTTCAATTTGCCGTAGTCTCGTCGGCGGATTCCGTCATGACAGACTCCTAGTTAAGCACCGGCGGATGTTGGCACAGGTCACATCCCGGTTCGCCACTTCCAAACCGGAGTTGTCATCACAGAAAGCGCGGCAGCGAGGCATTGCAAGGAGATCATGTTTCATGAATGCGTCAATACTACCTTAAGCTATCCGGCCAGCATGAATTCCTGGAAACACGAGTGTGTGAACTCGGGGGGAAGCGGATGGCCAATAGGCAGCGAACCGCATCTCGACACAGATGCTCCACAGCCTTATAGCTCGGCTACTATTGATGGCTTTTTCCTTCCACCTCGAGTTTTTCCCGCCACAAGTCCACCACAGTCTCTCAGAACCGGACTAAATACTAGCTAGCTTATGCATTGACAAGTGTCGTGCCATTCATTATGCGAGCCTCCCGGTGCGGTGGGCCCCGCGATCAAGAGTCAGGAAGAGGCCTGCCAGGGCCAGATATTTTTACATGGACTCCGGAAAAAACGATGCAACTATCTGCAGGAGCCATGTTCCCTGGTCTGCGCGTATCTCATGGGGGCGCTTCAGATGTTATGCGTGTCCCGCCCGGCTGAGGCTATTGCCACTCGTCTATCCGGCAAATTGCGAAGCCAAAGCTCGTGGCGCTGGGGTAAAGCAGGGAGGCCCTTGCGACCAGAACTCTAGAAGATCATTCGATGCTCGCCGAGGTTTCTTTGACCATTTCCACTCCGGATGCCATTGTCGAATCATGAAATGAAAACATACAGCTGCAGATGCGAGGAGGCATGACAATCTCTAAGCGTGTGGAACGCTCACGTGGACTTGCATATGCGCAAGCCTCCTCCAAACCCTTCCCCAAGAAATTAAACCATGATCACGAATAGTTGTAGAGCAAATCACGTTCAGTGAATCCTACGAACCGGGGAGGAACGGAACGAAATCATCCCAGGGTGCTTGATATGCAATTTCCAACATGACGTACATTCCCACCTTGCGAAGCATTGATCATATCTTCCGCCATGTGGGTTTATACGTTCGCTTAATATTCAATCTCACTATTATGAGCCTACGTAACCGCTCCGTCTCTAATTGCATCGCGACTATGATCATCAAGGCAGTTAGTTAAAGGCAGCATAGCATTGCGCCAACTATTGGCAATGAGCCTGCATTGAACCTGCTGATCGTAGGCCACTTCGAACCATCCGGGCGTGTGAGTAGCTGATGAGTGCTGAATATGCTGAACGACTCTGATGCTTTTGCTTTTTCCTCGGAAATGATGGCATGGAGATGACTACGCTCCTCATTCCAGGCAACCACCGGAAAGGTTGCACCAAAAGCAGGTGGCAAGCCGGCATCCTCGCTCGCTTGATCATGTTCTCGCACTACTGCTTGCATTCCTGCCATCGAACTACCCCCAGGGAACGCAATGCATTGCTCGAGCTGCATTCGACCACCGCCAGCTGAGGGAACCTGCAACTCACCAGCCCCCCCTACACTCACCCTCCGGATGGGTCCCAGTTCAACATGAGTGCAGTCTTTCGTTCTCGGAGGCATAGCGACCGCATGCCAACATTATGCGCAGACGGAGACCCCTCCTGTAAGTAAAATAAACAGCTGCTGATATTGGGAGGTCATGGGCCTCTCGGGCCGAGTGTTGGTGGCACAAAGTTATTGTACACCCCATCTCGGGATGTATTGGAGAGGAGTCTAATTTGACAGAGCTGCTGCGGAAACCTGTGAGATCGGATGAGGCGGTCCCAAGAGTGCTGTCGTGTCTGCGTTCTGTGATTACGCTGTTCTCGCAACATGCACCATGTCGGTCCCGGGATGTCAGATATCTTCCCTGTAGAACCGTGGGATTCGTCGTAGAGTATGACTGGCTGTCGGTGTGCTGAGCGCAGTGTGCTCTCCTGGGAGTGACATGAGATGATAGATTGCACCCGTAAATGAGTTCAGACCTAAGTTCGATCGGATCACCAGATGTGGCAAGCTGTCTGTGGTAGGCAAGCAAGTTCCCCAAAGCCGCGTATGAAGAGGACACTCAGTAATATATTTCCCCATAGTTCGGTTCAAAGCGCACTCATGGTCGCTCTGTGAGACATTCATGAGGGTATTGCGAGAAATATCAAGACGTTATCCATGACTCCAAATTGATGTCGGCGAGTTCAGTACGGCTGTTAACGCCCAAATGAGTTGCTTCCCGTATCGACGAACGACCATGATTTCTCGAGCAGAGAATGCGTTGCACATCGTTTATATATCGTGTTGAAGTGGGATGAGATGATCTCACACACAAAAGGTAGGTCGTCGGATTGGTTCCGCATGTGTTGCGCTTTCCGAGAACACGCCTCGCTTGAAGCCGACGGTTTGCGGCAACTTGGACGTACGTGGCAAGAGCCGCTGCGGAGGAGATGGATAAAAGGCTGATCAACGGGAACAAGAATACCGCCATGCCACCCCTCCCGTCAAGTTTGGGCTCGGATTGAAAGCCTGGAATATTGATTCGCCGTAAACTGTTGTTGAACCCCTATTCCACTCACCCGTCGATTCTCGCAGCGACGGATGGTTCCAGGGGACGACACACCTGCGACATGAGGTTCTCCAACTTCCCCGTGTTGATACCGGCCTTCACTGCGCATGTGAGTTTCTCCTGGCAGGTTCTCTGATAGAATATGACACTAGAAACAATGTTTCCTTCTTAAGAATGCAATACAGAGTAGATACTAAACAAGCCGCGACAGATCCACATCGACGCCCCCCTCGCGATATCCCACGACCTTCTCAATATCCCCTTCCTCCCCAATCGAGGCGGCATCGTCTCGGAGCCAGGGTACCCTTTCCTCCTTCGGGCTACCTTTGTCCACGGCAGCGACTACCTCCGGCGCGACCACGACGGCCGGCACGTCCGGCTGGAAGTCACGAGCACGGCGCGGGACGATGAGAATGGCAGTCTCGTCCGCTTCAGTTACAGTGGCATCGTGGACGTCACGGGGGACGCGGGGAGGGTCATCCGGGGTGACGGGAATGCGACGACGACGGGGTTTGGCAACGCCTGTGAGTTGACCTCTCTCTCTCGTACATGACATTGCGGTATGACACAGGATGAGCCGACAGCTAACCGGATTCCTCAGTTGTGCAGGTCAGATTCGAGACCGAGGACGCTTTCCTACGGCCCATCGAAGACAGAGTGTATGTCGGTTCCGGGCGGTTCATAGTAGAGGCCAATGCGCCCACTATAGTCGAATACAAGATAAGCGAGGTGGCGGCCGCGTGCATGGCGATGTATTGACTCTAGATTCATGGTCGAAGGAAGCATGACATGAATACATCATTTGTCAAGAACCAGGCCTTCCGGACTGCCAGACTCGATCAAAGAAAGGTACACTGGCACTGCGTGCATGAATTCAAACCAGACTGGCTAGAAATTTGGTCAGGTCGTTCAATATATTGGCATGTTGCACTGTTGTTGACTGAACGTCCCAGCCCTCTGGTTTCCCGTTGAGTTACCATCACTTTGCGGGACCAAAACTCCAACGCGTGATTGCCCATAGAATTCGGCGACTCGAAGCCGTAACGCCCTGGTCCCTAGGTACATATTTTTGCTGAAATTTATTTTACTCTTTTAGTGATTTCCAACCCCAATCGACACCCAATATACTCCTTTGTAAATAGACCTAATTTACATTAATTAATTTGACACCCCGGCAGCTTGTAAGAGCCGTTCTCCAGCCTTGACATTTGCGTATTCGTATGCCTTCGACTCGGGTGGGAAAGTTCCGCTAGCGGCCCAGAGATCCACGAGGGGCTGCATCGGCTCCAGCTCCTGGGGCTTCAGCATATCCAAGGCAGTTGCCGTGAGGATAAAGTGGGAGAAGCAACTGTTGAGAGACTTTTCAAGATCAAGGTGGTAGAAGGGCTCGGTAAAGTGAGCCCAATAGAGGTGGGCGTAGACACGGAACATCTGACGGAAGATCATTTGACACACGTCAATGAACTTCTCCGGAAAGCCGGATCTCTTTCCCACCCAGTCAGGCTCTCCCGGGTTCAGGGGCGCGCTCATGGACGGGTTATGAGCGTACGACACACCAGATGAATCCGTGGGAAAGATGTTCGTATCGTCAATCTTTCCAGAGATCCATCTCTGCATCAACGTCATGTATTCGTAAGCTGGAAGCTCTACTGGCTCGCGCCGGCTATTCAGCCAGGTAAAGGAGTGATTTCTATTTGTCAAAGTTAGACAGGCCGCGCCGAGATCGCACATGGAGGAAGCCTCGAATAACTCACGCTCCCGCCGACATTCGTGGGCAAGTTGATGAATTGCAGATCGTAGCACCACTATCTTCCTTCTCGTGGAGAACACGGACAAAATTCCAAAGGTTGCGGTAATGCTCAACAACTATATTGTGTCAACAACAAAAGTGGACGAAGAACATACGGACCATCCATACCTTGATGCGCAATCCATTCTCCCTGTTCAACAGTCTTAGGGCGAGCACTCAACGTCATGAAGTTACCCTTGACAATGTGCTTAGCATACTTTGGGTTGAGCCAAAGCGGTAATGGTCGGGGTAGATGATAGGACGCAAGGATTTCGTCTCCATTTTGCTCCATGCCAATTGTCTGTGCCAGTGAGGGCGAGTTTGGTAAGGGTGAAAGCTTTGGGGCAGTTGTTGTTGTTGCAGGCGGGAGCTGTGGAGGCAGTTGCTCCGGCAGAGGGGCTGTAGGAGTCGTAGGACTCTTCTGCGGGCCTGCCGCCCTGCCTGAGCCTCCTCGGAAACGGGCGTTACTAGAGTGAACTGTTAGAGTGTTGCAAACACATATATGGATCAAGAGGGGACACGGGACATATGAAGACAGGAATGGTATGGATGTCAACCGATACCGGCCAACCACCGGCCCAGTGCTGTGTATTTAGAGAATACAACGCTCTGCAGCTCGCAGTGAAATTCCAGGCGCACACCACTTGGTATGATATCTCTACCCGGTGGACGGATGAAGTCATCGCAAAGATGTGCAAGTCTCGGTACCATCTTCAGAGGTCGCATGACCAAGCCAGTGGCCATACACGAACTATCATATATAGCCATGAGCCTCAATGCGCCATCCTTTTGCCGCACATTGATCTCTCGCGAGCTGCCAGGCAAGGATATCTCTATAACGCGCGGCCATTGTTGAAAAGGGTATGTAGCCCCGAGCCCAATTGAGTTGAGCACCCAGCACCGCAGGGCTGAAAAACGAGGCCAGCAAAGGGCAGAACAGAACACCAGGCTTCCCGTGCGAACTGCCGAGATAGACTAGCCTAGTAGCTTGTTGCCAAGTACGTGGTAGCGACTCCAATTTTGGAGGTTGACGGAGCACGCGACATAAGCTGACGATGGACCCTCCCCTGAGAGAGGCTTCTGGCCGGCGGGCGGACATGAACATGATGGAGATCATCCAGCAGGAGATGCGACTGGAACCACGAGCCAATGAGGAGATAGACTTACATGCCAGAGAAGAGGTTCGACATTATGCAGAGAGAATGCGAGCGATAGAGGCCCGACAGATAAGCAGCTTTTGGTTGATTAGAAGGCGCTGGAGAGACAAGGCAGCTTAATAGGTAGCTACCAGTTGCTGCTAAATGGCGGGGTGGGCAGCTATGGTGCAGTCCACCAGAAGCGGCGGCGGCAGTAGAGCTATTTGCTATCGTCTTCAGGCAGAAGGATGCGCCGAGCTCAGGCTGGCGATGGCGGCAATGATGGCGAGAATGATGGTTTGGCCGAGCAATGCAGAGGCGAGAGTGTCCGAGGAGCAGAAGTTGGAAGCTTCGATTCCTTTGGATCCATGCATTGACAGAAAGGGATGAACGCCCGGCGGGTTCAGTTGCTGCCGTGGGGTCGGTTTGGGCGGTTGTTTAGGCGCTGTTTCAGAGCTGGAGGCTTGCTGACCGCCGGCCAGCAGCGACGAGGCCCCTAAAGCGCAAGGTGGCCATCACCGGCGAGGTTGGGCCGCCATCCGCAGGCACGCCCAGCGCCTGCTTATCCACCATGGTGGCTAATGCTGATACGTAGCGGGTTCCAGATGCAAGTGGAACAGGTTGCTCGCTGCTACAATGTATCCATGGCTACCTGCTAGCTGGTAAACACCATTATCATGTCCTTTTACCAGGTGCAGAGGAAAGAAATAAAACAGGCCAGCCTTGGGGCCGTCGCAATAGCACCCACCTAGGCAAGGTTGCCTACCTTGGTAAGAGTTGGTCTACCTGGACGTATCACAAGCGAATGGGATCGAGATATCGCTGCAGGGGCCTCGAAGCGCGGCTTCTCAGACCATACTATCAAGGCTGCAGGAACATTGAGAATATGTATTTTCTTCTTTGGTATCAAATTATCGAAAGAACAAATACGATGGATGGAGGACTTTAAGCTCAGAGTAAGCTGTGGCATTTAGTGGAGGGCAAGGTGTAGGGTAGGCGCAGAGCTAGGCCGGCCTGAGGCGAGGTCGCGCGCAGAGACCAAAATTCCCAATTGTCCTTTGTTCTCCATACACGGGACGAATTCCACTTCGATTCCCATCGGGCTTTTCGCAACCACAAACATCTCAGGCGCGATAATTTATACCGAATTAGAAGAATGTCCGACTCAGAGGATCCCATTGACCCCATCGATGAGGGCGGCGATGATCTCTTCGGCGATGACGATGATGGCGACGTGATTGAATCGCCCAAGGAGCGCGTTTTGGATGACGATGACCTCGCCTCAGATCCCGAAGGAGAAACTTACAATCGCTATCGCGACGATGATGAGACCAGACAGCAAGATGAGGTCACAAGAGAGACCATGATTGCAGACGTCACTGCCTACAGACACCCTATCCCCAAACCCAGCGACGGCATTGTGAGTACCAGTGCAGTCTCGATGCGAATGATTCACTTGCTAACATTACTCCGACATAGCTGCGAGCTTTACGAGTGCCCAAGTTCCTCAAGTTTCTCCCAGAAGAGTACCACCCGGAAGCGTTTCAAGCATCCGAATTTGACATCGAGAATGCCAGATCCGAGCAACAACAGCACGTCGTACGATTTCGCCGAGACGATAGCACTGGGCGCCTCCATAGCAATACGAACATCCTGCGCTGGGACGATGGATCTGTCACCATTTCCGTAGGTGGCGAGCAGTACGAGGTTATCAAGAAGCCATTGGCCCCAGCAGCGGATAAGCCATATGACGAGGTCAAGGATGTTCACTACTACGCGGCGGCCGCTGAACTGAGTTCTAACATGCTCATAACAGTGGGCCATGTCACAGAGCAGTACACTGTCCGGCCCAGCAAGGAGATCGGTGACGATGCGCTCAATTTGTTGGCAGATAGGATGGCCCAAGCCACCAAGTCACAAAACAGGGACATGATCATCCGCACAACGGTGGACCCTGAGCTGCAGAAGAAGAAGGCTGAGCTTCTTGAAAAGGAGAGGATGAAGGCACAGCGCAAGCGCGAGAACGCCCAGGCCAAGCAGGAGACCGGCTACGGACGGTCGGGACGTGGTGGCCTGTCAATTGGAGCTCTGGAGGGTGGTCGTCGCGACGGAGGACGCAAACGACCTCTGGGATCTGGCAGGCCAAGAAATCATGGATACGAGAACGACTCGGACGAAGAGCTTCTGCGTGGTGCTGGCCGTCAAGAGAAGTACGAAGATGATGGGTTCGTTGTGGACAGCGATGAAGAGGAAGAAGAGGAGGAAGCATCTGAGGATGATGATGATCTTCTTGATGATGCAGACGAAGCACCTCGCAAGAAGCGACAAAAGGCCCGTGAACCCGAGGAAGACGAAGATGCATCGGGTGATGACGTTGATCCCATCGCGGAGGCCTCGGCGCGGAGTCGGCGCAGGAATGTTATCGACGATGACGACGATGAAGAGGAATAGTCATCTGTTTCTTTGTTTTCTTAATCATGTTTCTCTCTATGAGATTAGCTGTAATGTATATCGAGACTAGAGGCGTCAAACGGATGGGCTGTCTATCATAGTTCATATCAAGGAGAAAATTGGGTACATGCGAGGAGAATCTCGAAAGTAGGATTCCATTTTAGCGGAGAGAATATAAATTTATTGAGAGCTACATACCGGCTTACCCACCTACTTCCTTGGGCACCTCGATAGTTCACGAACAGCTGCTGTCGTCGTCGTGGTCACAAGTAAGCCAACCCTGATCCTTTCTATCTCCAATTCCAACGAGATACCATGACAAGCAAGAGCCGGGAAAGCGCTTGCGTTCTAATGATGAAGTGGGTGTTCGTATTAATGGCGCGGGGCTGTTCCATTGCGAATTCTATTTGAATGTTTCCTGCAGTCGTCAATCAGTACTGTGGTTTAACAATACCTTCAGCATCCTTGTACTCGGCCATGAATTTGCTGATTACTGTCACATGCCGCTAGCCAAGCTTCCATTGTTCTGTTGGGGGAAGACGGGGAAAGCTCCACCCATCTAATTTAGACCCTTTGAAAGTAACGTCCGTCACATGTCATCATCGTTGGGGCTCAATGTACTGGCCGACGTTGGGGCCCTTCACGCTCCCTCTCCATTCCTTCGCTGCGCGTCCCGTCGCCCACACGACAATTCCTGTTAGTGGCAATTGGAGACTCCTGGCTGCCTGGTTCAGGGAGATACAATGATCGGCGATAACCCGACCCCATCCTCGTCCAGCATCTGGGAGTGGCAGTGATATATTCGTTCCTAAAGCAGCGGCAGTACATCCTCCGGCCGTCCTTCGATGGGTGCTTGTGATTTTGATCCTCGGTAAGAATGGGCATAGTCCTGGCTGTCTGGAGGGTGATAGTTGACGTTGCCAATTTCTGGCACAAGGTATGCCGTTGCTCCCTACCTCATTTCCACCACATCTACCTACCCCGTCGGTTGCATTTCCTTTGCCCTGGGTCCCGTCACCTTGATGGCGTCGCCATCCTCGTTGTCGCAAACAGGCGTTTCGTTCTTGCTGACTCCCGCGAAGAAACTCCTAAGCTGGTACACGCGCAGGAACCCTATAGAGCTATGGCTTGAGCTTCTTCGTAATGCAGAGGTTTTCGAAGACTGGGAGGAGGCGGCGCTTCACCTCGACAACCTCCTAGGCCTTGACCTCTGGTATGTGGCTATAGACCAACCTTCGCGTTACACAAGTTCCCACTGAAACGTGTCGTCATCTGAAGTCGCAACAATACTAACCACGATATTTGCGCTTCAACAGGAGAAACAACCCGACCTCGAAATACTATGACTGGAGGCTCATAACCGAGCGCCTAAACTCGCTGTCGGTGGCGCGCGAAGAAAACAACTTCCAACAGCTCATCAACCTCTTGCGCTCCGGGCTCGTGCGAAATCTCGGAAACATTACGGCACCTAAACTCTACAATCGCTCTTTCTCCGGAACCAAATACCTGATCGAAGAATACGTGACACAGGTGGCCGAAGGAATCGAGGACATCAGCGCCCTGCCAACCTCGGCGCCGACGTCTCCGAGCGGACAAGACAATGCATTTACAAACCAGATGAAGTTGGATTTCATCCATGATACAAGACAGGCTTTTGGTCGGACTACCCTCGTGCTTCAAGGCGGAGCCATCTTCGGACTCTGTCATTTAGGGGTCATCAAAGCCCTTTTCCTGCGAGGATTGCTGCCGCGCATCATCACCGGCACAGCAACAGGCGCGCTGATCGCCGCCCTGGTTTCGGTTCACACGACAGAAGAGCTTCCCGCTGTGCTGAAAGGCGACGGGATCGATCTATCTGCTTTTGTTTCAAAGGATCATGCCCACATCCAAGGCGGACAGACGTTTTGGTCACGGTGGGACACGCTCCTCCGCCGAATCCGTCGGTTTTCGCGTGACGGTTATTTCCTTGACGTGACTGTACTGGAAGAATGCGTGAGAGCAAACGTCGGTGATCTGACGTTCGAGGAAGCCTATAACCGGAGCAAGAGGGTTTTGAACATCACGGTTGTGACCGAGGAGCAGGGTGGCGTGCCTAAATTGCTCAACTACCTCACAGCACCCAACGTCGTAAGAACTTATCAGTTTTTCTACATGGATAGAAACCCGTCTAATGGTGATTATAGTTGATATGGACCGCTGCGGTGGCTTCTAACGCCTCTTCGCCAGCTCTCTATGGTCACCGCAAGACCACGCTCCTATGCAAGGATGCCCACGGTCACATAGTTCCCTGGGCGGCAGCAAACACTACTGATTTTCATCACTGGACTCAAGTCTCCTATACCGACCGAGACTCCCCTCTACGGCGCATTGCCGAACTTTTCAACGTGAACCATTTCATTGTCAGCCAGGCAAGACCTTACTTGATTCCCTTTCTACAATCAGATATGCATGGGCCATCTTACCTAGAATCGCGGAACAAAACCACCCAGTTGTCGGCGTTTCTTGCCCGCATGGTGGGGTTGGAAGTCCAACATCGATTGAGACAGCTTGATACCTTGCGGTTGCTGCCGGCTGGCATCCGACGCTTCCTTGTCGACGAGCAGGTCCCAGCAGCTTCAATGACGTTGGTGCCTGAAGTCACGGCGGGCGACTTTGTACGCCTTCTCGAAACACCGACCCGAGAGACGGTGAATTATTGGATCCTAAGAGGCGAGCGGAGTGTCTGGCCCGCTGTTGCCGCGCTACGGATGAGGAGTGCGATAGAGATTGAACTTGACCGATCCTATCAGATAGTACGCAAACTCAAGGCTGGAGGTCTGAGAAGGAAGGGTAGCATGGCAGGAGTGCAGTGATGGTTTGGGCAGAAGGCTTGTCAGAACCCAACGAGTCGTCCTACGGGTGTCTGCTCATTCCACGGGGGGTGTTTAGGTGGCAGAACTTGGCTAGCCACAGAGTGTGATACGAATCCTTTCCTTGTAACTTTCCGTCCCTTCGAGCCCTGATTCATCCCGTAATGATAGCCTTTGGTAATAGCATTTTGAATAGCATTTCATTCACAGCAGTCGAGACCCTGAACTTGGTTAGTGAGTGTCTGAGTGTCTCAGTTGCCTACTTGCTGTACGGCACAGCTCGATGCTGACAGTTCTAGGCCCTAGCCTCAGCTGTTTTTCGGTTCACAGGCGTGAAAGATGGAGCGAGCATGCTGCAGGAATCCAGCTGAGCCAGAGTCTGGCCATGTGAGCTGTCTGTTGCGATACCTATCGCAAATGACAAAAAAATGCCAGGCCCGGCCATATGACAGCATCCTGATGTAACCTGCTCGGACTGACGCCCAGTCCAGGACGATGGGTCTGCTGAAAGGACCTTCGGTGTTTCCCTGCATGGTGATCTAAATCCATTTTTTTCTTGCTCCTTTCCCAGGCCTATGGATAGCTCCCACTTGCCGTACCCTGCTTGCATGCACACTGCAGGACGCCCGACTGACCTGGCAGTAGCTGCATATGGGGACAGGACTAACGTCGTTCTAGCGCAACACCCTCGGGCGACGTGCCCAACAGGAGGACGGCCAGAGCGAGTCGAGTTTCGGGGAGGCAAGTCGGGCGCTTCGAATCCTAGCCTCGAGCGGCGACCAGATTGTTATTGTTGGACGTGCGAGCGCTCCGTTGAGGTCAAGACACTTGTATATGCAGGTGACGCATCGAGGACTGGGCCGGGGGGTACTGCATCCGATCGTCGGGCCCCATACTGACTGGGCGTTATCATCTCTCCACCAACTTGCATCCAGGCGTTGATGATGGTGAGGCGGGCTCACCGGCTGGGGGAACAACGCTGCCGGGCACTAGCTTCACCGGTCAGGGGATGGGAGTTCTAGGCCTGGGCGCGATGTCTCGCTGCTTGGGCAGCCTTGCCTTGTTTTTCTGTAGTGCCCGTACCAAAAGCATTCGCGCCGTTCTGCCCTGGCCGCCCGCATACAACCGTGACGGATCTTTGGCGCGAGTCCGCGTATGTCATGTTGACGAAGCGATCTGTCGTCATGCAGCAGGTCGGCGTTCAGTGGGACCTGTTGGTCAGGATCCTGGATGGGAATACGACGGGCAGCATACCAGACTGACCAGTCTTTCCAGCCACCATTGCTAGTCTCATGCAGGTGCTCGCTGGCCAAGGCTCGTTCCCCCTGGGCCAAGAGAGAGAGCATGAGGAGAAGAGGTATGCGCATGCAGACGAGGATAAAAGGCACCAGGTGCTCTCCTCTCTGGTGTCTGCATAGGTCACTCAACCACTCGATTTCTTCAAAGCATTCTGGATACCGGCTGTCCCAAACGCTGATCAAGAGGCAGGACTGGCTTGATCCACAACGCTCACTCAGTCAATATAGTCTCTTTCCAACACTCGCAACTCGCAACTTTTAGCAGACTCGCCCATAGTGAGATCTGCTTGTCGTTCTCTTTGGTTCTGACCGACCAAACCCCAACAATTCAATCGTAGGATCCCGCGGATCCCAACAACATCTCGCTGTGCTGCGCACCATCCCTCACGTACTAAGGACTAGAAGCGCGGACAAAATATATAACCATCTCTCATTCACGGCTGCTGGCAGGTCCCATACAGCATCAAGAAGATGAATGGCCACATGCACCCCGATCGCAACCCAGGCATGGGAGGCATGAAGGAGAGTAACAACTCCTCGCTCGGCGACAACACTCAACCCCAGAGCATGCACGTCAACGGCACCAACACCATCTCGCCTCAGCAACTTGGAATCAGCAGCCAGAGCACCTCGCACCAACCCGTCGGGAACGACTGGGTCAACACGATCCAGTCGGTTCCATCAGTCGCCGGGACCATGTCGTCCTACTCTGCCCACGACGGGGGCAACACACCACGGCCCTGCGTCCTCCCCGGCGCGGGCCACCCGCTGACGGCGGCCATGCTGGAGCGCTTCAACCAGCTCAACAGCGAGGACAACGTCAACATGCGCATCGCAATCAAGCACAGTCTCAGGGCGAAGAAGGACAAGGCGTCGGCGACCCGCGTCTCCAACGACACCGTGGACCTCGGGCCGGTCTCATCGCAGCCCACCCCCTTCGACAGCGAGGTCTTCGCCGCCGGCGCCTGGAGCGACACGCCTGCTGGACTTCACGGCTTTGGTCTGGACGCCGCTGATGATGACGGGGCGGAAGATCTGTTCCTGGTGAAATAACCAAGACACGTCTTGTCTCGGAGAGAAGAGGCTCTCCATTCCATCCCTTACCAGGGCGGCACATTGAGACCTTGAAGAAGGCATCGGTGCCGTGCGGGACGGTGGTGCTGTTTCTGTTTCTGTCTCTGTTTCTGATCCCGCTCCTGGTTCTTGTTTTTGTTTTGTTTCTGGTCCCCCGATCAACGTCAAGGCGCGTGACGATATGCCATCTGCGTGCGTAGGTCAGTAGGCAGAGCGCACTGTAGACCTACCTGACCTAACATTGACCTCCGTTCGCATCTTCGTCTGTATGCTAGCACAAGCCCGTCCGGCAACCTCCACGATCCTTCGTCCTAAACCCCAGCCTAAGTATTGGATCGCCGGGGTATAACAGGCAACCCCGGTTGCGGTAGGGCAAAAGAGCTGTCTGAGGGATCGGACAGGGCAAAACCACCTTCGGGCCGGCCTGCCCGACTTGTTCTGGAAAGCAAGTCGGCAGGAGGAAAAAAAAACCCTCGCCTCGGCTCCATAAGCCTGGTAGGCATGGCCTGGCCTGTCGTCGTTTCACCAGGCTGACTCGACTCATTTCGCTTCATCCCAAATCCTTTTTTTTTTTTTTTTGCCTTCTTGTCGGTGTAAACAGGCCAATTTTCCATTCCTCCGTTTCTTAGTGCTGGTAGCTTGCTTCATTCCCTGTCGGAGACTATTTTGTTATCTTGTGTGATATAATTAATTTAATCCCCATTTCACTGCTTATTTGCTACCGCGCTTTCTTGCATCCTTCATTTGGGAATCTGATACACCGTCCCCTCTTTTCGATCTACCTATGTGGAATGAAAAATAGAATTACACCATGCCAGCGGTGCGGCATTATCTACGTAGGCCTTTTTGTGATGATGATGATGTTGTTGTTATTTTGATTTGATCTGGTGGTCCTCGTGGATAAGCGGCGGCGATGGCATCACAAGTTCCTGATCTTCAGCGTGCGTGCATAGTGCAGCGCCCGACGCACATTGTGTCTCGGCCTTCTCACCCACTCTGCAGCCTGCACGGTACTTTAGAAAGCTCATATATAATGCATCTTATTATATCACATCGCATCAAAAATCCCCGACTAGCCTGTTTTTTAGTGTTTTTGTTTTTTTTATTTCTTTTCGCCGCAGCGGCGATAAAAACCAAAGATCAAAAGGAGGTGGCGACGATAAGCCGCGCAACCACTACCGCCCCCAAAGATGAAGCGTCGCACCGTGAGTGGTCCGGCTGGTATGCGTTGAAATCTTAGCAACGTCATGCACGATGGCCAATCATCCCAGCATTGTAATGTAGCCATGTGAGTAATGTAGGTAAAACATCGAGCGCTGTACCCAGCAAGCGCGCCGGACAGGGGGGTTACCCGTTGCTTGTTTGATAGTCGATGCAGAAAAATGCAAAGTTCCTTGTTTTTTTTCGTCTCGACTGCGGGCAACGTGGAGTCACAGGCACAGACAGGCACAGAGCTTCGCTAGAGGCCGCCCGCTCTTAGTTGCTATGCCTTAATGAGCTCGGATCATCACTCTCCACCACGGGGCCGAGCCTATGAACTCGTGCTCCGTTGCTGCATGAATCAAGCTCGACGGAAGCAGTAATACGGCTAATTATACTTTGTTGGTAGCGCCCGGACGTGCCACAACAATGGGGGAGGATAGCCGCTGTCAAACGTCAGGGAAGCCTTTTCGTCGCACGGCATACATGCAGGTCGGACCTGGGCAGAGCACAACATCACACGTAGGACACACAATGGAAGAAAAAGAGGCGATGACTGTCAAACTTGAATTTCATCGGTTTTGTATTTTTACCAACGAGTGCGTTGGAACAAACTACCAACTCGGACCTTCGCCAGTTGATGTTGGGGGAATATGAAGGATATCAAGGAAGGACAAACGGCCCTTGGACCTGCTCTCGCCAGCCCCATAACGCCACATATAACTTAGTAACTTTCCTCATGAAAGTGCGTGCAGTAAAACAATCATTAAAAACGTTATATAGTCAAGAAGGCGGAAGAAATCTTCCTAACATCCACCTGACGCCATCTCAGACTCGACTTAGTAGACCAAGACAAGGGCGGCAGCGGCGCCGAGAACCAGAGACAGTGAGGATCCCAGAGAGCCGGCACCGTTGTCGGGGACGGTGGAGGGAGCAGCGGTGGCAGAAGCCGAGGTTGAAGCAGCACCTTGGACATGTTAGCAAGCAGTACATACAATGGTGGAATGACAAGAAACTCACGAGTAGTGGAGCTGGCAGAAGGGGTGGTAACAGCAGAGCTGGTGACAGTGCTCAGAGTGGTAGCAGAGGAAGAGGCGCTGCTGCTAGAGCTGCTGCTGGAGGCGCTGGTGGAAGAGGCAACGCTGGTGCTGGAAGCAGAAGAGCTGGATGAGGAAGAAGAGACGGCGGAAGTGGTGGTGACGGGGGCGCTTGAGGTGGAAGCAGGAGCGCTGGAAGACGAGGCAGAAGCGGAAGAGGTGGCGGTGCCGGATCCAGCTTGGAACTGCTCGCTGTAGTTGTTGGCGCCAGTGCTGTCGATGATCTCGAAGGCGTAGGTGCCGGCGGGAACGTTGCTGACGGTGACGGTGGTGGAGGTACCAGTGGCAGAGGTGGTCAGGGTCTGGACGGTGTTGAGGTTGCCGCTGGGACCGCTCTTGAGGAGAATGGTGCAGCCAGCCTCGCAGCCGGAGTACTGGAGGGTGAATGGCTGGCCAGTGACGACATTGAAGTTGGTGTTGAGGAAAGCTGGCTGGGCGGCAACAGCGGCGGCGAAAGCGAGGACGGCAGCAGAGTACTTCATCTTGACGGTAGTTTGTTTTGGTTGGTTTGCGAGTGTTTGGTGAGTGAGTGTTGGTTAAGTCAAAGGAGTGACGTTGAGCTTTGTTGAGCTTTGCTTCGTGTAGTGAAGGAATGAAAGTGGGTTGGTTATTAACGAAGCAGTCAAGACGAGAGCTGGATACTGGAAGAAAAGGTCAGTTTCTGTGATCGCGTGGGAGATGACTGTTCTTGTAGGCCGCCCAAGATTGGCAACAGCTGCAGCCCCCGGGCCGGCGGGTGGAGGCGGCCATCAGTGGTGCCTCAGTGGTCGCCCAGGGCCAGGATAAGGAAAGTCATCCAGGCAAGGAATGAACAGCCCACTGAGCCTGGCATTTGCCATTTCCCCAAATTTCCGCCGCCCTTGGCCTGATCCAGGAGGAGACACGGCCTGGGTGGCCGATAACCACGCACAGTAGCTCGCGAGGTCTTGTTCGGTTCCTGCGTCGGAGATATCCCCCCCACAAGGGCCAGTCTTGACAGGTGCTGCAGCAGCCTGGTGCCTGTGATTGGTGCTTCCAAGGGCGGCCTGATAAGGTAGTGGGCGCGCAAGAGACAAGACTTACAAGGATGATGGGCCGTAGGAGCGTACAGTATGAGTACGGGTGGTACCGTGTAGCAGGGCCAAATTATATGAGCAGGCAAGCGGGCAAGACTGAGAGATTGGGTTTGTCGAAGAACAGCACACAGAACCAGACGGAAGTCAGAGCTGGTGGAGGGACGAAACGATGGGTGGACTGGACGGATGCAACAGAGGACAGATGGGTGAGAGGGAGGGATGCACCAGAACGAGGCGTCCACCACCTTTTCTAAATAGTTTCTGAATTCTCTGCGCAGCCAAACCTTTTCGGATCAGCACGATACAGGACGTAAAGCCCGTCCGGCCACATGCACACCACACCGGCGCTCTCGACCCTGTCTGTCTTGGGCGAAGCCATCAGGTCTTCGCCCCTGGGTCCCCGCCTCTGCCCACGACCTTGGTTGACTCAAGGCACCCGCGCACTGCGCTACGGCCGCCTTCCCACTACCAACCGTGGACCGTCCCTCCCAAGAGGTCTAGCCTGGTTACTGGCCTTGATTACGGCGAGGTACCTCCAGGCCAACCAAGGTACTAGACCCGGCTGCAAGCAGGACGAGCTTGATGAGTCCGTCCGCCCAGCCTGATCTACGAGATCAACAAACCTCATGAACACTCTTAGCTCGCCGTGTTCAGCCCAACACGAGATCCCCAACTCCTTAGCCAGTACGAGAACGTCGCATCAGTTTCGTCATCACGATCGCACTCGAGGCAGGAACGAACTCAAGTGGCAAAAGAGAACACCACCATCGTCAGTGCTCACACCTACCTCTCTCTGGTCCCGGCCTGGGCCATCGAGGCACTGGCCCTTCCATGGTTCTCTTTCCCCACCCCCAAGGTCGCACTGTGTCTGTCTTGTTGCGTAGACATTCCCAATTTACAGACCCCTGGGCAAGCAACTCCAAACAAAATTGCTTTTAAGATTGGAGGTGGGCCCCCGCCAGCGCGCTCATATCCTGGCGACTCGACCAGCAGAAGTGACTGCATGTACATCACATCCTTGCATAATTGCCCTCTTGGGTGGGATCCTGGTCCGCAGCTCCCGCTTTTCCCTCGACCCCTGCATCTTCCCCAAACTGCACTGCTGCACCGCCGCGGTAAGCATTGATACAAGGTTCATCCTCTCTCAGCGTCACATGGCCTCCCTCCACCTCCCCCCTCGCCCACAATCGTCTCGACCGGGCCAAGGCAGTGCAGGCGGCAGGTTGCAGAGACAGGTTCTGCAGGTGCAAACTCTCCCTCCTCCCAGAAATGTGCCCTGCCCTGCGCGTGTCAGAAAATCAGTAGGGAAAATTTCCAGCCTGGTCTCGCTTGGCCTTACCTGGCCAGGCTCGCCCTATGGAATCTAATTGTAGACTCTGGAGATTGCCACCGCCAGGCCTGCCCGGCTACTACTGCCAGCCGACGCACCAGAAAAGCCTGGCATTCTTGCCTGAATTCCATCCGTTCATTTGTTTGTTCATTTGGCCCCTGTGTACTCCGTACTGAAGCATCCTCTGGTTCGCGCGCCCCTTTTGGCCAATTGGCCCAGCGATGGCCGCGCTACCACTAACCCACTGCCCACCCCGGGCTATGGCTCAACACCATCATCGTAGCAAACGAGGCCTCACTTGGCTTTTGCCTCTAGGACCGCCCTAAAAACGCCGCCATTGAGATCAGCCTCCATCTAGCTGCCCAGCCGCGACGTCGTTTTTCTCACTATCACGCATCCAGCCAGCGGCACAGCTCACGATGTCTTAATCCACTCCGCCTTCCAGTGCTTACGTCTCCCCATGGACCATGACCACCTCACACCCCATCTGTGCTTTTCGCGGCTTTTACCACGGATGACTGTTGGTTCTTCCCGATCCAGACCCACCAAATACAGTGTTGCCCCGGTCGCTAGTTCGACCTCGATGGCCAGACTATGCTCTCTGGGAAAGCCTAGATCACGGCGCTTATGGCATCAATGCAGGCAGACTACGTAACGTGCAGCAGCAGATTCAATATTTTGCTGTATAGGGTCTCAAGTGCTCACATCATGGTTGGGTCAATGTAACCCATTTGCTTTTTTGACACGTTTCCTGCGTTTCGATACTATGCTACTTACTGCCTAGCAAACAAATAATCGTGAGGAATCGCCATGTTTCAGCCAGTCAAACCCAAAAACACCATGGATGGGCTCAAAGCCACAGTCGTTTGGGTGTGTGAGATTTTCGGGACTCTTATTCAGCTCCGCCAAAGCGCCTGCATGTCACAGAAGCACATCGCATGAATTTCGCTCCAAAGGATCAGATTATAGCTTCGTCTGGCACACCCTTACATAGATAGTGTCGATGTAAAATCGAGTCCCAAAGAGTTATTTTTGATCCAGACACTTGCAACCGTTTGTCATCGCCTCGCGCGGGGAGGGGCTTAGCCACACCACCATCCCCGGCCCGTATTTTAAGTTGCCTCCATTCCATTTGCCGTTTGTTTGTTCTGAGCCGAGATCGGCATATCATGACCATCCCTAGCCATCTGTTTGTGCCGCTCTGGCATGCAAAGAGTATTAATTAGGTAGAAGTAAAGAATGATAGTGGTCAAAAAAAGAAGAAAATAAACAAATAAACAACCAGCACACTTAGTGCTCCAGGAGTCTCAGGGAACCCTGGACAACCACGTTCTCGAGGATGGAACCGGGTGGGATGTCAATTGTGCTACCCTCGGTAGCCACAATGATGACAGTACCCTTGAGTGTGACTCCGCGGCCAAGGTTGACAGCACCGGTGATAGTCAGATGGTCAAGCTCAAGAACCTTGGGGATGGAAGGGATGCGCTTTTGGAAGTCGGACACCTTCTTGAAGTCACCGCCGAGCTTGATGAGGGGCGCATCGCCAAATCGGGCGGCGCTCATCTGGAGCTGACCGTGCTTGAGGGTGTACAGATCGGACTTCACCAGCATAAGATCAGAGCATGTCTTGACTGGAAGGAACCGACGGCGGGGCACATTCACACCGTGGGCGTTGTTGAAGTGACGAATGGCAGCACCGACGGCGGTTTCCAGCTGAAGAATGCTGATGTCAGACTCGCCCTTCTTGTCGCCGGGGATTGTCTTGCCGTTGGGGATAATCTCCATGCCAAGCTCGTCGTTCTCCACGACACGCTTGATGGCCTTCAGGTTCAGCCAAATGTTGTTGGTGTTGAAGTACTTGAACTTCTTGATGGACTTGAACTCGTTCACGTGCTCCTTGGGGACCTGGGCAATTTCCAGCAGACGGACAGAGCCCTCGTAGTCGATGATGGTACCACCCTTGACATCAGCCTTGGTCTTGTTGGTCAACTCCATGATGTACTCGGACTTGGTCTCAATCATGTGCTGCAGGATGCGCAGGTCAACAACGGCACCCAGATTGTCTACGTTGGACAAGAACACAATCTCGATGCCTCGCTCGATGAGCTTGTCGAGGATTCCAGAGTTGTAAAGCGACTCGAAAACATCACCGTGGCCGGGAGGGTACCACTCGTTGATGGAAGAATCGAAGCTCTTGGGGACAGGCAAAAGAGAGTCCTTGTAAATTCGTGGGTATCGGGACTGGTTGAATGTGAGGATGTCCACGTTGTGGCCCTCGTACTTCTTGATGATAGCAGCAGTGTCGTCGTTGGTGTTGAAGGAGTTCATCAGAATGAAGGGGACGTTGACGTCGTAGGTGCGGTTGAGGTACTCGATTTGTCGCACGGAAAGGTCGAGGAAGGACATGCCATCACGGACCTCAATCACGGACTTGGGGCCAACACAACCCATGGAGGTACCGAGACCACCGTTCAGCTTCAAAACAGCAAGCTTGTTGAGGAACTGGACGGCTTCGGTGTTGGCGAGATCCTCGTAATCGACGACTTGGCCCTGGGCAGGAGGGGCAATGCGGTCCCAGTCGCTAGAATGTGTCAGCCTACCATCTCGCTCCCCAGCCTAGAAACAGACTTACACAGCATTTCCCTTAGCCTTGTCGTTAAGGTATCGGCGGAAGAGAGCAAAGAAGTTGTCCATCTCAGTATCGAAGAGCTGAATTCCCCAAGTCAGCATACCATCAGCTTTCCTCCATAGTGTTATCAGCTAACCTTCTTCTGCTCGGGGTCCTTGACCGTCTCGGCAAGGCTTGTCAGGGAGTTGCGCATCTGAGCGGCGGCGACATTGGTGGAGGTGTTCTCGAAAGCCTGTAGAACTTGTTAGAACTGATTCCCCAAACATTGATCAATTATCGATGGTTGGGCGGGTGGGAGGACTCTGGACATTGCGACAGGCGCTTCAGGGCGGGATTGATGAAACTCGCAGGATGAGGGTGTAAATGTGTTAGAGGATGGCCATTGCGATCTGGACCTGGAGTTTGCTCGCAACATGCCCTCTCTCATGGCTCAGCCAATTTGTTCGCCAACTGAGCGCCCCATGAAGCTGGGCTGAGGGGTAATGGGGCGAACCCAGAAAATATTGTGAACAATAATCTGCCCAGGGCCAGCTGCCATTGTCCCTAGAACTATTGTCTTCAGGACCAGCTCTAATTGTCTTCAAGAGTACCGCACCGCTCGCTCTCGAAGTCATGCCTCCAGGTGGCTCGCCTCGCCGAGGAAAAGCCCAAAGCCAGTTTTGCTACCCCACCACGCTGCGGTGAAGGAATGAACTTTGCAACGGCTTCTAGGGCAGTTACCCCTCTTCGATAGGCGTAGGTACGGTATTTGGGAGACGGCCAGGGCAGATCATTCCACACGAGGGGGGGGAGAATATGATCATAAATCAAAGAACGGGTTTGAGGGGCAATTATGGGTAAAGATTAGGGGTGTACTTGCCATGTGGCTGCGAGTCTTTCCATGGTGTCTCGAAGCAAAGGTGGCCTCTGCATCGTCCGCCTTGAGGTGCGACGGCAGCGCACTCTTAATTGCGGATGCCATTGTGAAGGTGTTTTAGAGCTGGATTGGCCTAGAGAGCGATGCAAGAATGAGTCTGGAGCGTGAGAGGTCGAGACTGGCTCGCGATTAGGATGTCGGTGCCGAGACAAGGTTCGTTGGGCAAGATGGAAGGCGGGGCAGACACTGTAAGATAGCAGAGCGAGCAGTCGCTGTCTTCCAGGCAAGAGGAAGTTTTGGGCGTTGGGGCGAAATAGCGGGGTGCAAGAGCTCTCCTCCCTTTTCTGAACAGCTGCAGATCCCTGTTAGAAAAACGCAGCCCGTGGAAAGCGGTTTGGCAGCAAAATTGTGTTTGACGTCAGGGAGCTTTGATCACCCCTGACGCCATCACCACCATCGGTGTAGGGGAAACCACAACGGATGCAACTCACATGCTCAATCGTCCTGGGAGCAATACGACGCCGATAGAAGCCTTGGAGGTGAAGGGTGAAGCAGAGCAAGAATACGAGAACCTGTCCGAGGGGGCAATCACGGTTTAAGGCCGTTTTATTGACCCCCATCATCGTTGATTGCCGTAATTTCTGATTCTCGCGACAACGAGCTCCGGACCCCACTATTGCCCATCCTTACCCACCAGAACCAGGCCAACGCCCTTCCTAGTAGACACCATCGTGTGGCAATGGACGCCACCAATGCCGCCTCCACGCAATTTAGGCACTATCACTGGCTAGTATCTTCAGCAGCCAGATAATAGGGGCAAACTACCTCTTCGGAGCCAGCTTACCCTGTGGCGGGTACGTTGCTGCTACGTCCCAGGTTGGTAAGTCGGGGAGAATAGTTTGTCACTACGATGGGGACAAAAAAAGAAAGTTGCCATCGTCAACATTACGAAAGATCTGCTACGTATTGGGCTATCATCGCCGGGATCAGAACGATGAGGTGGCAACCGGGCAAACCGCCGGGATTCAACGTAGCCAGATGTCGGAACAACCAGTTTTTTCTACCAATCAGGCACACAATGTTCCCCATGAGTCATGATCATCAACAAATAGCAACCCTTTGCTGCAGTTGACAGCCATCATCAACGGGACGCTGCGTATAAATACCGCCGATGCTATTTGATATGCCTCCTATCTCGGCACGTGGCAGTGGCATTGGCTCATGGGTGAGCTGTGAGGGAAAAGAAATGGCTCAGGGGTAGGTAGTGTGTTGCATACCAGCACTACTTATGCTGTCGGTGTTCCGAGAGAGGAACAAGAGGCTAAGCGATGATAACGGGCAATACGTGATTGGCGGCCCATCAACCAGATTTGCCAGATTGATCCAGATTGGAACCATCAGTGAACCCTCTTGACTTGGTCTGGCGCCTCGACGAACCATGTTTTAGCGCTCTTTTTTTGGTGAACAAACTTGTGGCACCGCTAACGCACAGATCTGCACGCTGCACTCGCTCGCTGGAGTTGTCGGCATGCATAAAAAAAGGCACGCCCAACGCCAGGAAAGTCTCCTAGTGTCTTGGTCTCTCCTCACGATAGTCTATATTCAGAGCCATCATATCAAGACACTTGTATGTGTCAAAATTGAAACCCGACCGCTCAACCTTGCCACAACGGGTCGCTTGTCAGACAGCTCCCGGTTACGGCCTGCGATACCGTGTAGCGGTCAACCGAGCCGCTCCGTCTTCATCAGAACCATAATAATATATCTAGTAATACCTGCTAACTGGCAAGGTTCTTCCTTGTGCTCATGTGTGCCCCCTGTCATCCTTCCTATCCGACTTTCGCCCAAAGTGAGGCCTCACCGACCTGCTGGGCGGTCAGTCAGATTCCATCTCCCGGAATGTCCTTCATCGTACCTTCCTTGCTTGCTGAGACAACCAACCTCCATGTGACAACCTCTTGCGATCTGTTCCCGAACTAGGCCCTCCACACCCTGCTTTTGCCTTGCCACCAGATCCAAAGCAACAGGTATCATTCCCCAGAGTTGAAAGCCGCCATCACCGTTTGAGGAAATGACGTTGAAGGGTTGTGTGCGTGTTCCTTACTGGAACATGAATGTGCCTGACAAGGACCACACCGAGGCATGCCCCAACTACCTCCTCAACCTGAGCGACAAGGATGTGGGAATTCTGTCAACCCCGGACTCTCAATACGAGATCCAGACCTGGGATCAGGTCTGCCAATTCGTCGATGAGATGACACTGGCTCATTTCCAGCGGCTGCCATCCGATCTACGGCGATACAGGGCTTACATGCATCAGTTGATACAGAGGTATGGAAGTGTCACCAACTTCATGCTACGGGAACGATTGCAATGGGAAGAACCCGTCAAACCCAAAGGTGTTCCTTTCGAGTTTCAAGAAGATTATAAAATCTTGCACAACGACTGGCCATACGGCATTGACAACCGTATCGTCCATCTTGTCGTCTGGACAAAGTTTGTATTCCAAGATGACCCCGCGACTGGCAGGCTCAACTCGGAGGGCCAGGAGCAGATTGGGAAATTCGTATATGAAACTTTCTCTCGACATCTGAAAGAGGGACACGTATGTGAAGTCGTATTGCACCTGATTGTCTGACGACAGCAAAGCTAACAATAATTCCAAGGTGAGATGGTTCAGGAACTGGACAAGTTTGAAATCGGTTCACTCAGTTGAGCACATCCACATTATGCTATTCGACCCCGACCCGGACTTCGTTCGACAAGTAACGAGCGGGGACTTGCCATTAACTCCCAAGTCGGATGTGAAAGCACCAGGGCAGTCCCTCCGCGGGTAGCGGTTCCAAACGCATCTGTATCCAGACTTCAATCCACCCGCCTTCCATCTTTTTGTTGTGACCCGCCTGTTCTCTGACATGGCTCGGGTCCTGGGTACTCTGTCTACTTTGAGAAACGTACTTCATCTCTAGAGTGTACGTACATGTCGGGTATCAACACGTATCTCCACACAAGGAGCATCCGCAAAGGGAACTGCGACTGGCTTATCAAGACTGATCTTGAGTTTCCAACCGTTGGCCGCTTCGGACGGGTAGGTGGTGTTTAGATGTATGGTGATTTGTGTGGCGATAACATCCACCAAAGCTTCAAGTGTCTCCAGCGATGAGTCGCTCATAGTCTAGAGCAGGGGGGGAAGTCAATACAAGATTATGCTCAGCTTCTGTATGAATTTGCAATTCTAGGCGAGGGGTGGTTCTGACCTTGGTTATGATATCTTCCAACTGACCGTACCCGTCTTCTCGAGCTGCCCATTTCTCAACCTCGACGTTTGCGATTACAATCTGCCTCTGCTTCTTCTCATGTTCGTTCACCCCGATCAATGTGGGAATTCTCAGATCATGGATTCTGAGGACCCTTGCTCGTGACTGAGGCGCACCTCCGGCCATCGAAGCCGACCCAGTCAGACTCACGCCATTGCCCAGAAGTGACACCTTGGGTAGGTGTATTGTGACTTTGAGATGTTGGAATGAAGAGCTCTCCAGGAACGCCTGCGAAGCTGGCTCGGGGCTTTCTGTGTTGATTAGTTGAAACCCAGTGAGTTGTGCCCAGACGGACTCGAGCAGGTCTGAGAGCTGCCAGCCTTCTGGGCGAGTGTCAAAGCCGGAAAATATCTTCTGCAGGTGTTTGCTCAAAAGTCCATAGTGAACAGTATCAGAGCATACCGAATCCCCCGCAGCAGAGTCCGAAAAGGTAGTTCCCTTGGAGATCTCGGCCGATACCAGGGCTGGGAGAGGCTGGTTGACTCGTCCCCAGGAGTCCTTCGGACCCTTGACGATGACCTGGAGATTCTGCAGCTTGATTGTCGCCGCGGGCTCCCCAGCAGCAACCTGGGTCTCCCAGGCGGTTTGAAGGCTCTCGGGCATGGTGGGGTATTGCGTTCGGAACCGGGCCTGATGCCTTCACCTGGCTAATGATTTAGCGGGATAGAATCATATATAGTCCCTTGACGACTTTATGGGTCTCTATGAATGAGAGCAGTGCCCGGTATGAGAAATATGATGTTCGAGATGCGTAAAACCTTGATTGCATTCAACATCCCTCATTCTATGGTGGATTCTTGAAAGGTGGGGTTGTGCTAGAAATCGCCTACCCTGGAGTGATACTCTCCGTCGACACCGTTAGACAGAACCTGAACCAAAATGAAAACTCAGAATATGGTACTGGAATATACTCTACGCTCTTGACTCATCTTAAAATCGGTATGTGAATAGAAAATGGCTATTGAAACCTGGTGTTCTTGACTGTAAAGCTACATAGGGCCAACATCTAGCTGAGTTGCTGCTGTCCCAAGATTGTCTCTTGAACAACAGTTTCCTTTAGAGCAACCAATTGGATCCCGGATGCATCAAAAGAAAAAAATTGCAAAACAAAAATAGTCTGGTCGATGTATATTGAAACTTACAAACATTTGCCGGGTTTCTCTGACTCTTGAGTACCCTTGGTCAACAGCCCGTGACCAGAGTGTCTTCAAGGCGTTCTGCACCAGCTAGAGAAACCACCCAGTGCCCAACAGAAAGCAATAGAATCAGAAGCCGAGTACGAAATAGGACGGTGCTATGTTTTATCTAAACAACCAAGAAAGGCCTCGTTCCTGGAAATTGATGTTAACTGGCCAATGCCTGTGATAGAGTGTCGAAAAGCCTATTGTGCCTTGTTTTCTATACGGAGCCTGGCAAAGACATTGACCCTGAGGGCATTATTAACCAACTAACTTGAAATCCACTTACACAGCTAGAAACATTTTAAAAGAGAAGTAGGAAGGTCTTAGCTATCGATGGAGGGAATTTAGAACGCGAAGTTCTGATATGATGTGAGAAAGTTGGCCCAGGATCAAAGAGGAATTGTATACATTCAATCTGATTTTTATAGCCACCCCGAGAACTACAAAATCAATTCATTTTATCTAGAATGCAGCGAAATATGGATTATAGTCTTTAAACGTTGCTGTGCTACGGGTATTAAGGTCTGTCACACAACATTCTATAGATATTCAACGAGTTCTCATCGATGGCAAGATATCGCTGCCCAAAAGAGTAATCATGAGCCTGAAATGGAAGAAGTGTTCAATGCCATTGAGATGATGATGTAAGGCAAATGTCTCTGCCGCCCCATGAGTGTCAACTCGGATAAATAGACTGAGTGAACAATCCAGCGGCCCTCAACTCTGGATGGGAACTTGCATTATGCCAACTAATGAAGATACTAGCTAAGGTGAAACCCCATTAGGCGAGTAAGCTATATTAGACTTCAGGTGACTAATGGAGTGATGTATGTATGTATGGTCTGGACTACGGTCCAAGTTCAGTTTCAGTTCCCCGAGGCTTCGTCAAGTGTCACTGCGACATGTCGCCCCAATCGATCAGACGAGCTTGTGGTCTGATGGCGTACCTTGCCGTAGCCCTTTGAGACAATTGGAAAGCACAGTGATTCGGTCAGTGACATCAAATTGAAATCTCATTTGGCTACCTCTTTTCTTCCCACATACTTGGGGGAGTCAACTGAATGTGTGGCATTCATGGCCGTATCATCCGGCTGGCCTCGGCTTCGATTTGCCTTGAAATCATGGAGAGTTATGTATGAGTTTCACTAGAGACGTCTAGGCTCGGTGATTCTGCCCTCTACCGAGATTGAAGGCTTTACCGAGACAGCCACACCTGTTCGCATTGGGACATCTGGCCGGCGACGCCAAACTGGCGTCGTTTGGGGGAGGCAGCCAGCCCAAGTGGGCGCGATATAGCGCTATGCGAAGATCTTGGGGCCCAAATTCACTACGTACGCAAGGAGGAGGGGAAAGAAGCCAACGTAATTATCAAAAGACCTCAATCAGGCACCGAGCAGAGTACAGCAGTCCCCGCAAGAGACTTAGCGTCATCGTGAATCACCCCAGAGATCTCGAGTCTTTCCCTTGTGCGACCAAGGTCTGGCGCTGCGTGCCTAACAAGGGAAACCCTTGCGGAGACGAGGCGCTCGAAGGAGAAAGCCAGCCCCTGAGTCGAGGGCTGAGATTAGTTTGAGCGGTCGAAGCAAGCATGCATACACAGCACGCGAACGTACGTGGGGGATACTTTTTCGACCTGAAGATGGCATGCAACGTCCCTTGCCTGCCTGCATATGTGTGCTTGAAGATGCATATACATGTGCTTGCTCGTGCATGATATCACCCTACCTACCTACAGTATTGAAAGTTGAACACAAAGTGGGTGTGCTGCTGCAGCGTGCTGGGCAAACGGTCCATGCAGGCTGGCGTTCGATGGAACTTCTTTTTTGATGCCCATCACCGCAAGCATTTTGGGGGCCATTCTCCCAAGTCCTATGAATAGCCAATTAGCCCGGGAGGGACCTTGCGCTAGGAGGACTTTTGGCCACGATGTGGAACACCACGGCGAAAGGCACAGAATCGGAAGGACGCCCCGCGAGCGAAGTCGTTGGTTCCTGCGCTAGAAGATTCAGCGGCCGGACGCCACAACTGGAGAGTGGAGCTGCCAGAGGCTTCATGTTCCAAACCTTGAAGCTTCTCTCGTCCTCACCAACATGGAGGCAGCCCTGGCGGAGACCTGGAGATTGGGAAACCACCGTAGGCAGCATCTCAAACGTTCGACGAGGCTTCTTTGGGCCGTCCATGCATACACACAGACGTAGCACACCACACGCCCCTCCATCTCGAAGCCGCCTGTCATGTCAGACGCGTCGGTCGGAAACGGCCGATTAAGCACCAACTAATTACGTATCGATATGATTTTTTTTTATCTGTTAGTGCCGCAGTGTTGACTCTTGACAAGGAAGAATCACCGGATGGCGATACCAATTTGGGGACGGGGTTGGTTTATTGCCAGGCCTCTCCTCTCTTCGGGCTCCTCCTCCGCCGCGAGACCTGTTGGTCTTGTAGATTGGAGTTTAGTATCTGGTCGGTGCGAGACCCAAAGGAACAATCCAATCTCTCAGGATTTACTAGGCGATCACTTGCCTGCCTGCCTGCCTTATCCGGGCGCGGCCGCCATGCATGACATGCAGATGTGCTGCCTGCAGGCACTCAGTGCACTCAGCCCACGAATTGCTGCCACTAATACTACCGGAATGGGGGACAATGCAGCGACTATCAATTGAATATTACTCCGTACATGCAGAGTCAAAGGATGCGGAGCCCAGATCGGAGAAGGAGGCCCAGCAATGTAAGCAAGTAATGTAGCAACGCAGCAGCGCCACGTCCCTGCACGAGTCGCCATTGCCATCGCGACCACCATCACAGTTGCGTTACTGAAGCCTTTTCGCAGGTGGCCGATAGTCAGCACCAAAAATGTCTGAATGGCGGATGGCGACGACGCGGACGAGAGAGGATGTTCCCCGGGTCATCCAACAAGCTCTTTTCGCACCCCTCCACGAAGCATCCTCACACCATTATCTGCATGACGTTCAGCCGTACTGCCATTTTGGGCCAAGTCTTTGTTTGATTGACACTGGTGTCTTAGATCTTACCTTATCCATATGCCTACTCATGACTAGAGACGACATCAGTTCTACAAAAGCCTTCAAACTAGACGGAGCTGTCCCGCATTTGTCCGCCTTGACTTTGGTTCTGGAAGCTGGGCAACTGGCATGCGGCAAAGAGCGGCACATAGCGGCCATGCCGCTATTCCGGCAGTAATCTTATCCTGCGCGCGGCTCCCTGATCAGCACAGCGCGATGTCATTGCCTCTGTATGTGCAAAATTACGAAAGATTAGAGCTTGCTTGTTTCGATACCGATAGATTGTCGTTCCGAGATACAAGTACAGCAGGTAGAGAGGATGGGGGCCAGATGATCATGATCCTCCGATGGCGGCAGATTCCTCTAGAAGGAATCCTGATATTATTAAATCAGCTGGGGCGGGGACTAGAAGGAGGCGGATTTCTAAAACACTTTCCTGAAGTCGAGATCTCCGGGACGCCAAGCTCGATTAGGCACGTCTATTTGTGTTTCAAGTGTCCGTGCTTGCTGGCAGGATTTTACCTACTGTGATCCTTACAACCGCACCCATGATTCAGCTGGTGGCCGATTGATTCCTCCCACACACACCCAACCACCCTTCCTCTCGCCACCAAGTACCATCAGGCAGGCAGGCCAGACTGCGTATGTTTTAGCCTCCTTCGATATTAACAGCACACGCAGTAGGGTTGTCCCCTGCTTCGCGATGCAGCCATTTCATGGAAACATCTCCATCGCGGGGAAACGCCATATGGCTGACTGGGAAGGCGAGGCGAACGGATGGTTCGTAGGTAAGGGGACTTAGAAAGTATCATCAAACTGTTAAGCGAACCAACATCAACGTACGAGCGGGACGATGAGCCGGCCTAAATTGGTGAATGAGCCGTTCTGGCTTCTCGATTGATGAAGGGTCCCGATATTAAGGGAATTCCATAGTGTTTCCCAAACGAGTAGAGCGTACACACGAAGACGTTTGCTTGCTCATTCTCGCTGGCGAAGCCTACCAAATCCACATGCTCGGAGCACACATGAGAAGACGCTGCGTATCTAATCGCACTGGTTTCCGGCCGTCTGGATCTCAGTAGGAAAGAAAAACTCTGTCAGATCTTACGAATCAGTGATTCGATTTCTTCTTGTCACTGTACGCCCTCGACTCGACCAGTACCGTGTCCCTAATCCCGGTTTTCTCCCTCGTCTACCTTGCAAGTTCCGTGATGTTGAATGGCCCCCCTGTGTGTGTGATCCACAAACGTTGGAGTCAGGGAGCAAACAGAGTGGCCTAGGGCCGCTCTGCGCGGTCTTTTGCCCCGACCCGACGAGCTGGGTTGGAAATTGCAGACGATGGGCTGCATCTGCTGAAGCAGATTTGATTGAATATGTTTATTTCCCCTTTTCAACATCA